ACCGGGAGCCGCCTCCCCCCTACCCCGACCCTTTCCGTGGGTGCTAACCCGTAAATGCCTCTCTCTCCCTCCCCGCTTTGGACAGGATATGCGCCGCTGCCGATTTTCAGGCGGGGGCTCTTTTCCTAGAAAGGGAGGGTGGGCTCGGTTTGCAACTTCTAAGCCCGCTCCGGAGCGCGTTTCCTCGGAAGGAAGACGCGCCGCCGACTGCCCGGCTCGCTCTTGCGGGGAAGCCCCGATCCCGCGCCCTGCCCTCGGGGCGCCCAGCACGGGATCGGGGCTCCAGCCAGATCTTCTCCCGAGGAAGCCTCCTGACAGTCCCGCAGAACTCAGCGGCCTGTCAGGATAGGGAAGCGAGGCGGCTGGATGTCGCGCATACCTGGCGGCTCTGAAGCGCCGCGGCTCCGTGTCTGCTGTCTCTCCCGCCGACACCCGCCCGGCCCCCTTTCTTCTAAAGGAAGTCCCGCTGCTTCCAGAGGGAATGGAGCCCTTAGGATCGCATCTTGTGTTCGGAAGCCGCGCAACGCCGCCCTTGCAAAGCAATACAGCCGCCTCGTGCCCCCTCCCTCACAACTGTCCTACATCCTTCGGGAGCTTGGTGGATCTCCTTATCGCCGCAAGCACATTTCTCCCCGGATCCCCTTCGCTTCCCCAGGGTGCGACCCTCCCTCTCCCACCAGCACAAGGGCGCCTGCGAAAGCCGCGGGAGACTCGAGGCATCCGCCGCCCTCCAAATTCCCGCTCCCCGATTCTCTCCTCTCCTCTCCTCTCCCCCCGCAAAGAAGACCAGGCGCCACGCGATCGGGCTGCGGAGCCCCTTCTGGTACTCACCCTAATTTGACATAGAGGACTCCGAAGCAGAGAAACACGTAGAAAATCCACTTTCGGGAGTTTCTGTGCATGTTCTAGGAAGGCGGGGGGTGAGCCATATAAAACGAAATCGCGCGCCGGGGCTGCGGGGGCAGGCAGGAGCAGGCGAAACGGCGGCGGCGGCGGCCTCGGCCGATTAAATCCCAGCCAGGAGCCTCTGGGTAGCTGCTTCCCTGCCGGACCCGAGTGGAAGCCCCGCAGCCTTCGAGCAGCGCGGGCCCGTGCCAACCATGCTGCCCCCGAGCCGAGGGAGAAGCCGGGGCAAGGCAGAGCCTGGAAGCGCGCAGCGGGGCTCCTGGGTCTGACTTCTGCAGGTAACGCACCGCGTCTCTTGCGACCTGCAGCTCCAGGTAGGAAGATCTCGCTCCCGCGCGCGCGCGCCCGCCCCCCCCCCCCCACCCCCCCGCCCCCCCCCCCCCA